ATTGTTATTATGTAAGTTCCAGTAACGAATGTTTACGCATAAAAATGTTGCGAATAAACGGTTTTTCCAATATATGTATATATAATAACATATGTATATTTTTGTAATATATTCATAATAACAAACTTATCTTGTTTCTCTATATTTGTTTGTGTTCCAGGCAGAAAACCAAAACCATTGATCAGACACATACCAAACACTGACAAAGTTTATTCTGGCGAGACACTGTACTTTGTATGTGACGTTCCCAGCTCAGCTGATTGGACATTTCTGTGGTACAGAAGTGGAAGATTGCTCCCCTTCAACAGCAGACATTTCCAAATTGATAGTTGTACAACTTCAGACAGCGGCCATTATGAGTGTGAACCTAAAAGACACAGTTCTGAGTACGTCACTGAACGCAGTAATAAACGACACCTCCTGGTTTCTGGTGAGTGATGTTTACCGCAATTACCCGACTATAAGTCACACACAAGTCACAGTGTTTTTCATCCTTTGGCTGGGTCTGCGACATATATAATTTCACGTTTATTATTTTCACACTGACGGCCAATAGAGGGCACTCTAGCTGGCAGGTGCGACTACTCCGGAGTGACTTTCATGTTTGTTTTTTTTCTTCTTCTTATGCATGTTTTGGCTGGTGTGACGTATACTGTGGAGTGACTAAAAATCCAGAAAATATTGTAATATCTAACAATATCTAATGTCATCTGTCATGTGAAGTCTTTACCTAAATTGCCTCGGATGTCTCGGATCTTCCAGAACCTGATAAGATTTTTTTGTGTTTCTTCAGAAATCCCCGTTCCAGCTTTAAAGAACCTCACTCAGTGGTTGGATGTGTTTCCCACTGAGCGTGTGTCTCTGAGCTGTGGAATGGACTCCACCTCCGCCTGGAAATACACGTGGTACAGGGATGGATCGAAGCTCCCGGGGAATGACCACACCGTGGCTCTGGACTCCGACGGAACCATTCTAAACATCGGCTCTGCTTCTGCGGAACATTCGGGAGAGTACAGCTGCTCAGGGACCCTAAAGAGTAGACCGGTCCACAGCAACAGAAGCTCAACACTGACACTCAGAGTTTATGGTGAGGTTCTTCTCAGCGTGTGCAGGTTTTAAAAGATAATTCAGTCTGAGAAAATAACTTGAAACGAAAATAAAGGTTTGCTGCTCTCTAGAATTCACTCTTCACATATGATGGATTTCACAGTATGTCAGAGTTTAAAAAAAACATATGATGGATTTCACAGTATGTCAGTTAAAAAATTCTTTAGTTCCACAAACTGACCACTGGGGGCAGCAGCAGCAGCTCCTGTGTCTCTCTGAGCTAAAATTAAATATATATTCTATTTGGAACTGTTAGTGAGTTATTAACGTGTTTTAACATGATGTTACAGATCACTAAACGTAACTGTTATTACATTGCAGCTGAAAAACCTAACGTGACTCTGACTCGAAGTCCTGACTATGACAAACTGCACAGCAGGGACTCGGTTTCCTTCACCTGTCTGGTGACAGTGTCGTCTGGATGGGACTTCCTGTGGTACAAAGATGAAAAGACGTTGGAGCAAACCACCAACAACTACACCATTGATTCTGTTGAAATCGGAAGCTCTGGATGGTACAGCTGTCTGGTTAAAAGAGGAACTGCGTCAGTCTTTGAATCTGACCACAGTCCGACTGTCAGACTTAGCGTTGATGGTACAGAATAGATACATCTTTTTATTTAATTTTTTTACGTGTTAAAGGGGGTTTTCTTGTTTAGTCTTTTTTTTTTTCTTTTGCAGAACGCCCCCTGGCTGAAATCGTTCTACTGACTGGTTGGTCTGAGGTGTTCCATACAGACAGCCTGGTGCTTAGCTGTGAGGTCACCGCTGAGTTGGCTGAAGAGGGCACGCGGTGGAACTACACATGGTGAGAACAGTTCAAATATACACTTTGAAGCTTTGTGTTAGAGCTGTGTGTGCTTTTTGGGGGGAATGATTAGGATTTATTTTGGATTACTTTTATGTGTAGCTGCTCGTGTAACTTTGCGTCTGCTTTCAGGCAATTATAAGCTCTTTTAGCTAACAGTTAGCTAATTCTGAAAGACCGTTTGTAAACTCTAGGTCAGGGGTCAGAAACTTTAGTTGTCATATGGCTAGAATTCAAAGGTTCGGTGGGCCGTGTTCGACATAATCTCTCTCTAATTTTTGCTAAGCTATCGTTTAGCTTGTTTCACTTCCTTTGTCTTTGGTCAGCCATGTTCCCTTCTAATGCTTAGCCCTCCTATAGCTCCCTAATAAAAGAGACATTTTATCAATAAAACCCTAACCCTCAAGTTAATGATACAGATTTGGCATCATTTAAATTCATTACATTTACTGTCTTTACCATGGACAGGTTCAGAGCAGGAGTCCAGATCAAACTTTCCGCTTCGAAAAGACACGTCGTCACACCCCATGACGACCCAGATCAGAGCGACTACAGCTGCCAAGGTGTTCGCTCCGGAAGACCGTCCTACACCACCTCCAGTCAACCTTTAAAGACGAGAAACCTTCGTGAGTAACAAATCCAACAGGAAGTCCTACTCGTCAGTTTAACGCACGAAATAAAACTCTCGATCTCGTTCTCCTACAGTTCTGAAGAGGAGAATTCTTCTTTCCATCTCCGGCTGCCTCTTCTTCGGACTCATCGCCGTCTTCCTCGGATGCATTGTCCTCCGATTTACGCGTAAACGAGGTAGGATAGGATTCGGATTCTACGTTAACTTAGCGTAACTGGTTTCACAAATGTTCGACCACTACTTGTCAGTAAGTTCAATTTTAGACACCTTTGTTTAACAATGTCGTCACAGTGAGCAAAATATTCTTCTTATAATTATTTATTTGTTCTACTTAAAGCCAACAATTCAAAACATCAGGTAGTAAAACGTACTAAACTTGAAGCACCCTTAGCGAAAGACACATCTTAACATGTTTGTTTTTAAGATTAGACTTTTGGAAATTATGAAATCTGTCTTAAAGAACTTTGAGACTTTTCTCTGTATAGAGATATGACAGAGCTAAAAACATTGAGGGTCTGTTAGAAAGGTCGATGGTGTAGACGGGGGGGGGGGGGGTGGGTCGTGGAACACTGGACCAGCTCTATACCCTCCACAGGGTGCTTGAGGGTTCATGGGAGTTTGCCCAACCGGTCCACATGTGTTTTGTGGACTTGGAAAAGGCTTTCGACCGTGTCCCTCGTGGTATTCTGAGGGGGGTGCTCCGAGAGTACGGGGTTGGGGGCCCTCTTCTAAGGGCTGTCCTGATGATGGATGGATGGATGGATGGAGTGCTCGTATCGGTTTGTGTCAAACACTAAATTCCGACACCTTTACTGATATTGACATGTTGTGTTTTGACTTACCTACAGTTCATCTTGATGAGGTTCCTGAAGAAGAAAACCTGTTTCTGACCATGGCACAGCTGAAGGACCGAACTGGTATGATGACATCACCAACAACATGAAAAACGCAACGAGCTTTCTTACAAAGGCGGCGTGTTTAAATGCTCAAATGACCAGAGCACACATATAACACACATACAGTACATATAAGGCATGAATTTATTTAATAAATACATTTAATCTTAAATTTAATTTTGATTTTCTCCACAGATGGAGTGAACCCTCTGACTGAGTATCTGACTGATAAGGATCTAACCCAAGGTAGATATACACCTGTGTTTCACATCTTTACAGGATGAAGTTTAATATTATTTCTGTTTTCAGGCTTATTTAACATTTTTTCTGTTTTTTTTTTCCCCCAGAAACTACAGAGAATGGCACAATAAGCAGTGAAACAACACCATTACCCATAACCACCCCGGAGGACCCAGGTGAGCCTTTGAGCATTAATGCTTACTCAACTTAGAGCTGAGTGATGATGTGATGTAACGCTAACACACGTCACGTTTGTCTTTTGCCTTGTAGCTTTGAAAATTGAAAGCAATGGAACGGAAGACAACGACGGAGGAATGGTTTCGTTCAAACAGTAAACGGCCTGAGAGGTATGGAGTCAGTGTCTACCCGACAATGACGATCACGTGATGCTTACCTTTAACTCACAAACTACGATTGTGTGAAGTCACCTGTACTGGGATCCTATGTTGTCATCAACACTTAGTTCAAATTTCAAATCATTTTAAATGTATTTAGTTTACTATTTTACTCCAAAAAAAAAGGCTTCATTACAGTGAGGTAAAATTACAGTTTTCTCTTTGTTTGCCTACAGCAGCAGGTAGGTTTTACCAAACTGAATTAGCCACTGGATAATTATACTGCAGCTTTTATAAAACTCCTTATGATACAAGTAGTAAAAGATTTTTGTTCTTTAAAATGTACAATTTGTTACTATTGTGTCAAAAACTGTTTATTTATACATTTTATATACTGAATTTGTTTAACCCTAACCCTATTTGTATATTGTTAAATTTTCTGTGACTCATTATAAAACATGCAAGTAAAAACTAGTCCTTAACGGTTCAAAACATTACATGTAAATGCGCATTATATGATAATGAATTATCTTTATTATTGTTCTGTATGTAACAGCACCCAGATATATGTTGTATAAGTAAGGCTATTATTTCAAAACGTTGATGTATAAAATACATGAAAGTTAATTAAACTAAAACATCAAAACAGCTGTTGAACAAGTGTTTCCATCACAGGTTTGGTAAATCCTGAGATCTCCACATACACATACAGCTTACAGAAAAAGAAACTATTTTCCTACCTTTTTTGAGCCGGATCACAACATTAATATTAAAAAAAATACCACGGCGAACTAAACAAGCATGTCCCCATTTACCTACGCAGTGTGAATCCTGGGCCTGTTAAGCGGAACACCACCTTGTAACACTTGCAGGACTTAAGGAAACCTGCACACAAAGAAGACAGAAGAAATTAATGTCAGAAAATAGACAGTGGTGAGACAGTGGCACAGTGGTTGGGGAACACCGTATTAGAGCCCATTCTGATTGGCATTGACTTTATATCACTCTATATCGACACAAACTAACAGTTAAAGACTCAAGGATTATCACAGAGTCTGAAATGCATTAGCCAAACAATCACTTAAACAAACCCCAAGTAAATTCATGTCAGATCGGGATCTACCAGTAGTAGTATCGCAAAGGGAGTACTGGTAGATCATAAGCAATTAAAATAAAAATATAATCTATATATAATATAGATTGTTTTTAGATTAATCTTTAGGAATAAATTAGCAACAATACAAGTACATAGAATAATATTATGCCATATAGCTACAGCTATTTAAGCAACATATCATGTACATATAAAGTATATTCAGTTCATATGAATACATATATAATTAATTTTATCACCATATAAAGTATATTCAGTTCATATGAACACATATAATTAATTTTACCAGTGTAGGTAGATCACTTCTTTGTGGTCATTTGAAAAGTAGCTCCAAAGCCAACAAAGTGTGGACAACCCTGGTCTAGAGGCTAGGCTAGATTTTGGCTAGGTCTTTGCTGCGTCCTAAAATCACAATGTTATTGGAAACCAATTAGAAACCTCCCAGAAAACACTTAAAAAAATCACTTACTGCAAGATCTCGGACAGTTTTTCTTCATAGAACTCATAGTTCTCCTTACAGTCCTCCCAAGCCGCGAAGTTCTCCGCCTCTTTGTCAACGTACGTGTCCCACACCAGCTGAAAGTCCGACGGTTTCATTATTTGAAGTTTGCAGCCGGCGCTGTTCAAAGCTCGAAGCCCCTCCCTGATCTCAGGCTCCTCCCACTGGAGGAGGCGAGAACAGAGGATACGGAGACGCAGCTTTTTACGCTGGCGAAGGACGTGGGTCAACTTCTCTGCACAGGCCACACAGGGACTGGATGACACGTACCATGTGACGTCACAGTCGAGAGAGGGGTTGGTCAGAACCTGAGGGGACGAGAGGAGAGTATTAGAAACATTTGAAGGAACAAATCTGAGGACAAAAAATATTGTAAATGGAAAAAAAAAGAAAATATTTTTAAATGAAAGCTCCAACTGAGCATAGAGATAACTAAAGAATATTACAACATAAGCAAAAAGTTAAATTATCTGAAAGAAAAGATTAAAGTATTAACTGCTTAGTTTTACATTTTGCTGAATTATAGTTAGTACAAATGTCCAAACAGTCAAAAAAATTAGTTGAGAAATCAACAGCTTAAGAGCCAAAGTTAAGCAAAGTATACAATAAAACTACTAAAGGAGGTGATGATTACTGCTAAATTCAACCCCAAACAGTTTGAACTGACCTTTAAATCGACGACATAGTACTGAATACTATAGAATATAATATAGTACAATGTTTGGAGAAACCGTTCCTGACACTGGTCTCCAGTGTTTCTCCACTGCGTTCCTTGTGAACAGCTGCGGTTCTCTGCGCATTAATGAATCACCTGCTGAAAGAAGGCTTCTTCAGCATGTGCGGTGGTGTGTTCGTCCTCCATGTAACCTGTCAGGGGCTCGGTGCTGCCCCCTGCCGTGTCCACTCTGTAGCACAACAGCGTTTTGTTCCTTCCGGAGGAGTATTCGACGTTTCTGAACTGGAACTTGAAGTAGAACAGACTCATCCGTTCCCTGGTGTACACACAACTTGAGAAGATTAGTTACATGAAAAATCCATTTTCACTTCATCATCAAACATGTTACCTGATTAGAATGTAGATTAGACTGTATTGCTTCTAAAAAGTGGTTTAAAGTGGTTTACAGACAACAGCTTTTTTTTTTAAGTATGACAGCTTTGGGTTGTATTAGCTTCATTAAACCATACAAAAGTCCATAGCCATCAGTGACTGTACCTCACAGGAACAGCAGAGCTACTGGTCCATAGCTGTCTCACCTAATTAAAGAGGCTTCAGCTGCACACTGCTGTGGCTATAAATATAACTGGCATCTCAAGCATCCCATAATATCACGCACAGACAATCCCGCACATACACACACAGATTACCAAAATATTAGAATTAATAGTCTGATTAATGCAGGAACCAGAACAAAGGGCAGGGTTTAATTTTAGGCGCGGTGATGTGACTCTGACTCATCACCCCCTAATGTGCCATGACAACAGACAGCAGCTGTTTCCATCCACAGATTTAACAGACATAGAAAAAAAAAAAAAAAAAATCTATGACGCTGAGTCTCCAACACTAAATTCAACTGAAAATATTAGAGGTCGTATCTGCTAGGAACTGTTGAGCCCCTTGCTGCCTCCAGTGGCCATCTTGTGTCACCGAGACAAACGTTTGCACAGGATTTCAAAAAGTGAATAAATATATAACAATCTGTTTCAATAAAGTGCTTATATCCAATCAGTGTTCTGGGACGCAAAACAAACAGAATTATCGCCTTAACATTTAAAATTTGAAACAAGTGAGTTTCCTCTGTATGTGTGTGTGTGATTGAAATACATAAAACAATCGTCACTGACCCTGAAACAATCTCAAATGGTGGCAGCTCAATAGGTTGATAATCTCCGTTTCCCTCAGCGTTCGCTCCTTCTGCGGCTTCTCCCGCTGCTGCTGTGGCGGCGGCAGCAGCATCGTCCGGCTGTCCTCCTGCCACCGTCTTCTCCTCTTGTTGTGGCGTCTTGTTCACTGGCTTCTTGGACTTTTTCAGGCTCTTCTCCTTCTCTTTGTCCTTGTCCTCCACCTTCTTCTCTACATTTTTCTTCTTAACACTGAGCAGGTTGCTTCTGTCGGCCATGATTCCTACTGTGAGGCAGTGAGAGAGACAGTGGTGGGGAAACCAAAAGGAGACAGGGGGTGAGGGGGGGTCAGTGACGAAGAGATAAGTGGGGTGATAACCCCAGCTGATTTACAGAAATAGAAGCCATTGTGTGCAGTGGTTGGAGTCTGAACATGTGAATGTCTCTGTGGATCACTGGGGGGGATTACTCACTTACTCACTGACCCCATCCAATTCTAGGTCCTAAAGGTCAAGTATTAGATAAGACATACCGGTCATTAGCTAACTTTAAGCGTTTCAAGTTTGATTTTACCATTGCTATCTTTTAGGTTTTGGGATAGCTGTAATCAAATGGCCAATGTTAAACCATCGATTTCAAGCATGTACCACACTGAGTGACTTCAAAATATATTTCCAGTAACTCTAGGCCATTTATTTCTATGTTTTGGTCAGCATTTAGAATGATCTTAGCTAATGTTGAACTCAGTTTTAAGCACCTTTCAACAATTTCTATAATACTTTTCGACTCCTCCTGTGATTATTGATGATTAAATTAATTTAGTAGTGTATTGGGCACATTTATTTCAGTATAGTATATGATCAACATTTGGTTCGCAAACAATCCAACATGAAACTAACACAAATCTAATGCTGCCATTGCCATTTATTATCTGTATTTGAATTTATATTTTGTTGTAATGTACAGTATATTATATTTTTATATATGATTTATACACTGTATTTCTTGTTTATGTAATCCAGTAATGCATTTGTTTAAGAGTTTTAGTAAGTGGACTTACATTGCTGATTTTATTTCCTCGCTCTTACTTTTGAATATACTTTTCATCGTTTTAGGGATATTTTCAAAAGGAAAGAAAATACATGGTGTCATATATATCGCATTCTCTGTTTGCTATGTTCAATAATAAATAATTATTTTTTGCCCATTTGCCTATATTTATTATCCTCTGCCTCATCTGTAGTTGGTACGGTTTTATTTAGGTTTCAGTTCAGAACTGAATCGGTTACAAATATCATTTGCCAACAACTTAAGCCCAACAGCAAATTAACGACTGTATTTTTTAAAGGCAATATATGTCAAAGTAATTTATTATTATTATTATTATTGTCATCGCCATAAGTACAGTATATTTGACTTTGATATAGTGACTCTAATTCTTCCTTATTATATAAAATATGTTTTCACCTGTGTACTTGTTGGATGCCATGTTCTACTAATTTGTTAACTGAAGTTTTTTTTTTTTTTTAAAAAGAATACATTTTCCTCTTGATTTTGGGATATTAAATAAACATTGACACACTGAAATAAAAGGCCCTCTGACACTACTCCAACAGAGTCCAAGTGTCAGCAGGCAGGTTATTATTAACACTGCTATGCATGTGGAGTAACCAGGCTATTTTGATATTCAACACCACTTTTGTGGCTTCCCGTTTAAATGCTGGGGAAACACAAGCAGAACAAAAACAGCTCCCATTGAAACATTGCTCAAACTGGTGCCCAAAATTAGTTAGTTATTTTTAGTGCAATGCTTTAGTGTAGTTTTGACAAGCTGAAGTATTGAAGAGCCTCTAATGGGAGCCAGTTAGCCAGCTAGCAAAGAGACACAGCCTTAATTTCCTAAAGGGATCTCCCGAGGAACTGATAAAGTTTCTATCAATCTATTTGTCTGTCCGTCTATCTAGGTATGATGCTGTTGAGACTAAGGCTGTGCAAATAATTGAATATTGTGAGTATATATATCAAAAGATATAAAGTATATATATACACATTTATTATTTTTTATACATTAAACGGACGGTGTCAGTGGAGATTCCTTCATCGTCACCTCGCCATCTAATAACAAAAAAAGTAACACAGAAACACAAGGAAAAGTAACAAAACCAGGGAGCTACCAGGTAGGAGAAAAAGAGGAAGACCAAAGAGGAGATGCAGATAGTTGGAGTCAGAGTAGAAGATGCAGAGAACAGGGAGAGATGGAAAACAATGATTCGCTGCAGCAACCCCGGAAAATAGGGACAGAGCCAAAAGGAAAAGATGAAGAGAGAAGAATGTCTCCAAAGAAACTCCACCCAGCCCCAGTCTTCCTTACATAAAAGCCCTTAGCAATTAAGAGTCTAGTCTTCACCTGGAATAGCTTTTCCAGGTCTGCAAATGTCTGCCTCAATGACCCCAAACACAGAGAGGTCATTACCTGACCACCCTATACTGTTACAACAAGGCACCAAAAGTGATAACCACCACCACCGTGGAGTGAAATTGATTTAAAATAAATACATCTTTACCTGAATTGGCGTCCTTTGAGTCCTTTCCCTCTGCTTTTCCCTCTGCAAGAAAACCTTGCTAAAAAATATTCATCTTGGATTAAGTTACTGACTGGAATTTGTGAAATATAGTTGGTCAAATTGTTGAATACATGTTATGAATGTTTCAGCACATATATTTTTGGCCATTGTTTTTATATTTTAATCGATTCAGAATGTGCACTACATATTAGTGTTATTTACTTGGTTTTTTACTTTTTTCTCCTGATGTCTAGTTATGCTATTTTTTCAGAGTATATATGTAATTTGTTTTATTGAAACTTAATTATTTTTTCAGCAGAACAATGTTCTCTGTACTGCTGATGTTAGGGCCAGTCTTTAATGTCATTGTCAAGACAAAAAAGAACAACACATAATTTCTTGAAGAATCATATGCTGTATTTTTTCTAATGATGATGATGATCTAATGATGACGGGAGATTAGTCAGTAATCAGTTCTTTGTTTTCGTTATATTTCATTAATTAATTCGAACAGAAATTAATTAAATTAAATAATGTCTGAGGAAAACATTATCTGAAGAATCAGCTATAAAAGGAAAACATTGTACGGATGTAGGATGACGTGTCTAAGGTGCTGAAATGATTTTACCACGGGGTGGCAACTGGTCTCTGAGGGGAAACCACTGAGGCTACAATGTTCTGAGATCCTGAGGAGTTCAATCAGTTCTATGTCCACAAGGATCTGGAGTTTGCTTTGAGGTAAATGAGTGTCTCCAGGTTTTTTGGAAGAATATGGCCTCTTTCTGGCAGCAGCTGACGCTCAGCCATGGCGTAAACATTCCGTACCACTGTTTCACAGGCGGGAACAGTGAAAATATTTTTGGCTACTTGGGCAAGAAGGGGAAAGTCAATGTCTTTACGCTGCCAGTAGTGCAAGGCCTCCTCATCTGTGGGTTCCTCCTGTAGATAGACAGTCAGTTCCTGCTCCAGACTCTTGGCCTGTGATGCAGGCCTTTGTTTAATGAAGGAGAAGAGCTTGCAGGGGCGAGCCAGTGTGGAGGCAGGTGACAGTGTGGCACCACGAGGAGTCTGTGACTGGGGCTGAAGGTCTGTGGTTTGACCTGTGGAATATTTTGATATTTCCTGGAGGAGTACCTGTGTGTGCCAGTCTGGGTTGCTGCTCCAGGTGAGTTTGAACTGGGGATCCAGTGTGGTGGCAATGATGTAGAGCGGATCCTCCAGGATGGAGGACAGTCGACGCTCCACGGCGTGGCTGAGGGCCAGCACCAGGGAGGAGCAGTGCAGTGCGGCTGTCTCAGAAAGATGCTTTCGAAGTCCCAGGACACATGGCATCACGAGGCTGATGGACACATGAGCGTCCTTCTGTGTGTCCCAATGCATCATGTCCCAGGCCTCAGTGAAAGGCTCCAGAGTGTCTGTTAGCTCCTTCAGAAGGGCTTTCTCTGACACAGTCAGCGACACCTCCCCTTGACTACTCATCTCCTCCAGTAATTCTATTGAGTCCAGAAGCCGGTTGAGCACCTGCATCAAGGTCAGACAGAGAAATAAGTATTTTTAAAAACCTCAAAAAGAAAAAAAACAAAACTAAAAAAAACCACACACAAAACAATGATACCGTTCAACTGTTCAAACAATTAACTGGCTACTACAGCCCACCTACATCTTAGAACATAAGTGAAGCAACTAGTCACTTTTACATGATGTCACAAATTCACATACCTTCAGCTGGGAAGCCCAATCCTTGGGTCCAGGGTGACCAGGTTCTGTGTCACCTCTTGTAATTCCAGATCTGTCAAACACTTGACCCAGTTTCTCGGGAGGAACAGCCTTGGTAATGTAATTATAAAAACCCGCAGCTTTAGCCAGTGTAGACGAGATTTGAGGACAGGAATGTAACCCGTCCCTGACGCACTGGTCCAAGTTGTGAGCAAAACAGCTGACCTGTAAGATATCCAGTCCCTGTTCCAAGGCCTCCTCCCAATGTCCATCGAGTGTCCCGTTATTACTATCGCTGTGGCCATTCCTTATTGTTTTTTCCACACTGTTGCCATTGTCCACCTCTACGTCATCATTGTCATTAGTGAGACCAGGAGACAACAGAAAGCCAGGAAGACAGCATGGCTTGGTGTTTGCAGTGGAGAGAGAGCGGTCTGCGATTATACGGAAGGTTCTGTTTAAAATACTGTGAGAGTGACAAACTTCTTTAAACTTCGACAGCACATGATTTCCAGAGCTGCTTGCAGTCAGAGGAAGACAAGCCAGCAAGGCCGAACGCATCTGCCAATCAGATGTAAGAAAGTGGCATGTGACACCCAAGTACCTTCAGAGAGACAGAAAACATTTAATAAGATACAAATCACCTTTTTACAACTGTACTTTGTGTGATTTTCTTCTTACCCCGCTGTGGCTCCAGGACTTCTCCTCCACAGATCCAAACTCAGACTAAGAGCTTGAGCCTGGGCTAGGGCCTGGTGCGTTGTCATCTGGACCTGGTAGGTGTAGGCAGGAAGCAACTGGCTCTGAATGCAGTGCTGAGTCTCTAAAGTGTAACGTGGCTCTAGGAAGTGCAACAGTTCCCTAAAACCTTGGTTTTCCACGATGGACATCGGCTGCAGATCCACCACGATCATCTTTGCTATTGCCTCGGAAATCAGGACCTGTTGAGAAAAAGTGAAACATTTAATACATTGTAGTTTACATAAGTACATCAGTTAAAAAAAGAGTTACATATTTCATTGTTGTTGACGCCCAGGGAAACGGAAAAGCTGCCGTAGGTTTGGGTAAATCTGAATTATATATAATATTTGTGATGGATTAGCAAAATCACAAAACAACCCATTTAAACTTGAGGAAACCCAGGTCCAGTGACACAGCAAACTGCAAAGAGTTTTGCATACAAGCATACACTTTGAGGAAACCCAGGTCCAGTGACACAGGGAACTGTAAAGAGTTTTGCCAAATTATTGCGATAGTTTGTCTTGTATGTCATCGATACAATGGTGGCAAATATTGATATTTAAACAAAAAGCATACACGTGTTCTAAACAGATTATCTCACTGAAGCTGTGATCAACAACCTTTGATTTTCACTACATACTGTGGCAGTCAATGGTGTATAAACAGTTTCCTCTTAAAAATGTCTAACACTGACGAAGCAACACATATTTTAAGATATAATATAAGTTTCACACATAATTGATTAGCTGAGTGGTTCATTTGCTGTGTTAAGATGCATGTCAGTCTGAGAACAATCCCTTTAAACAAATTATGTACTTTTAAGGCATTGCCCAACTACCCAACCTGACGAGGGTCATGTTTGTCAAACTTGGCAACGCTTCCTCCGGAGCCTGCACCTCCTCCATCCAGAGTAAGGGACATTACGGCACATCTTTCTCCTCCTGTTCCCTCTCCTCCTGCACCTCCTCCAGAGTTGATGGGTGCATTTGAACAAGGAGTTCCTCCATTGGAGTGGGTGAAAGTGTGCAGAGGAGCAGAAAAGTAACCCTCTCTCTTCATGTCTTTCCTCTTCACAAAGTCATTGTACATGGCCTGATGTTTTCTCTAGAATGAAAACACAGACAAATTAGTCACAGGTTATTATTGTTGTTTTTCTAAATTAATTATAAATAGACATAGAGAAAAGTAATCTATTTGCATTATATTAAATCGGTTTAGAACTAATCATTTTGCACTGAAATGAATTACACACCCCTGTCTTTCGGCTGATATAAATACTGTATGTATAAATAAACTAGTGACATCAGTACAATATATAAAAAATAATAACTTCACTTTATGCATGTGCTTGTACACAGCAAGACTGAACACAGGAGTTCAGGTTTTTGTGTTGGGGTAATAGAGGATGCTTATCATCCAGGGTGGTCTTGCTGTATCTATGGGATAAAGCTGTTGTTGTGGGCAATTACGCCTGTAGTTCAAAATAAAATGATAATTTGACATTGAAACATTGAAATATGCTAATTCTGACACGTATTTAGCTACATATACTCAAAAAGGACGGAACAGCGTAGCGCAGACGAGCTAGCTTACCGTTTTTAGGTGATATGCCATGTTTGTAGTCGAGCTGTGATACGCAAACTGTTGCTTGCAAACTTTGCATTCGACTTTCTTTCCATTATCTTGTTTTGTAAAATACTCCCACACTGACGATATCTTTGACATAGTAGAGGAAGCCTAAATGAAACTTAAAATAAAATAAATATTCGACAAACCATCGGTCTTAGCTTTCTAGCGCGTTCTTCAAAATGTTTGTCTACGGTTGGGCTAATCCAAATGGTGAAAACAACGGGGGTGTTCCGAAAACACCCCCGTTAGGTGTTGGTACGTTCCTCCTGAATTTTGATCCAGCCAAAACATATCGAGGAATAAATCGACCGGTGGACTGGGAGATTACAGGAAGGTCAATTCATTATTGTTGTATGTTATAGTCCCATATAAATAAAATAGATGAAAATTGAGGAGTTTTTTATTAACAATACAAAATAAAGCAGGATAAGTTCAACTTCTCAAGTTTATGTTCCCACCCACTGTGAGACCACAGGTAAGTAAACAGGTTATGAGGGCAGGCTGGGCGTCATTCAGGGGAAAGGACGCCTCTGTTTTGCATAATCAGACTAGCTGTCAACGTTAAACACTAGGCAACAGCCATAATTGGGCTTAGGACACAAGCTCAGGCTCAAGCATTTTGGTAAAGGTGGGGAGAAAAACGTGCATTAAATCAAAACAAAAATCTCAGGATTTTGAATTAAATGCTAAACTTGACTGGGAGCTGTTTTTATGTCAATAGTTTTCTGAGGAAAACCAATAGAACATCATAGCAGTAACAGAAGTTGGGAAGGCTGAAAATTAGTGGAATGAGAGATGGTGGAATGGTACATGTTATGTGGGCAAAAATATGGTGACCTGGTACAAGCCATGATGAGATGCTGCCATGGGTGACTGTCAGTGTTGCACATAGCAGAAACCGCTACAAGAGTAATTGCTAAAGTTTTTGTAATTTATGGAGATATTTTTGATCATGGCTGATAATACTGAAGACAGGTGTATACACTAGTATCCCCTTTTTATTTCTCGGGTACGCCATTATCCCGAGAAATAATAATCCAGACACTTCCCTAACCCTGACTTTTTTGTGGTTGTAGTTACTTTATTCTATAATGTAAACAAATCACACACCATTTTACAGTATGTACTTATGAGCTCACAAGCTGATACCAAATTTTGATTAATCTATAAAAGTGCATAGCATTGCAAATTGTATCGCCATCTTTATTTACACAGAGTGTCCCATTAACAACTTCTTCTGGTCGTCTCCATGACTTCTTTCTGTAAAGGGTGATGGTTTTATGGTATTAGGTTGGCAAATACATCACTTACAACCTTGAGATGACTGCTTTCACCGCTTTCCTGACAGTCACTGGGACTAAGTTTGATCACATAAAGTGCCCCCCCCTCCACTTGTGCTCATGGCTGTCAGGCTGGATGGCAGCATCCCACCATGGAGCCAGGAGGAGTGAGAATGCAGACCAGGATCTTTTGAACCCGTTACCTTCAAGTGTGTGACGAAATTGGAGGTGACACTGCGCTTGGCCTGGATCCTGGTCCCGCAAGCTTTACAGTTGGACTCGATTTTACCATTTTCACCCTCGAACACGATGTTAAAGTAATCCAAAATGGAGACCTTGGACACGGATGCCATTGGGGCAACAAGGCGTAGAAATAACTGCGGCTGCAGCAGCGGGGGAGTCCACTGATGAAGATAATAATATTGATGGATGAGCGCAAACAAGCGCTGTTCAGGCTCAGACATCAGCTGATCATGTCTGACACTCGCTAAAACCTCAGCAGCAATATTAGCCTCGGTAGCTTCAACAGCAGCAGCAGCAGCAGCAGCTTCATTAACAATAGCAGAAGCGTTTTCGCGCTGGCTGCGGTTGACAATTATCCTTAAACAATAAGATGCTCTGTGCTGTTTCTTTAACGTCTGCGCTGCCGCCGCCGCCGATGACGCCTGTGCGTCACCCCGTGGGGCAGGGACAAAGCTATGCTACGTTCACAGTGAGGCTACGGAAGAAAGCCGGAAGTGTTACTATTTTGGTGGGGTAGTTTGCGTGTGGGAGGGGCGGGTACGTATAATTAGGCTAATTTCTTATAGTCTAAAGTTTAGACTATAAGAAATTAGCCTAATTTCTTCTTATTAACGTTTAGACTCTAAACGTTAATAACAAGTCTGTAAGAATATGTACAACTATGAACACCGGGTATATATATATATAACTACCGAAAAAAAGGGTTCATACTGTATAATATATTTTGACCTGAACTATATCAGAGTTGAAATCTGGTTAATGAGGGTAAAGGACGAAGCAAAAAAGGAATACCAAAAAATCAGAAGCTGCCAACACTGAATATATGAATGAATAACAGCAGTCAGAATGTGAAACATTTATTTAACATTTAAAATTTTATTACAGAATAACCAAGGCATAATTAAACCACGGAACAACCACACACAATTCTAGACAAAAATGAAAAACACACATTGTTAACAGAAAAGGGAAATTAAATCAAACATTGTCCAAAGACCCGTTTCATGTCCATTAATTGATGTAACCTGACGTTTAGCGATCAGAAACTTGTGTCTCCTTCTGCACAGCCTGTTTGTCTTGCAGCCTGTTTCTTAATTCTCGTTTGGTGTTCAGCAGAGACACCTGAAGGCTGGCAATTTCAGCAGAGAGTTCAATCACTGTGAAGAGACAGAACTATGAGGGAAAGTATCCAGAACTGAACTAGAGGTAAAGAGGTTAATGTTCAGAAAGAATATGTCTGTCACTGTGAGCCTAGAGAAAGAAAAATTGATGTTAAGGTTTTGGGGTTCAGAACCTGGCTAATAAAATTTACATTTTTATTTTATTTCTTAAAACAAAACTAGTCAACAAAAACAGTGTTGAATAGGGTTGATAAACAAAATCCAATCTAGGGCTTTAATGAATTCTCATATCTAAATTTAGCAGTACAATACCTTGTTTGAATGACATCTGCGCGTGTCTCAGAGATTGTGGGACCAAAATTCCAAACCACCTTAGTGGATCCTGTTGAGGAATTACTTGATTTTTCTTTTCTGGAACTTTTTCTCTCCCGAGCTTATCACTTTCCTGCTTCTCAGTTGCCGTCTCTCCTTTAGGTCTGGTTCTCTTCCTAACGCCTGAAACAATTACATTAAACAGGAAACAATTGAGAATTGATAAGATAAACATGTTGCATCACAACAGTGCAGACAGACTCACCTTCTTCCTGAGGTCCAATGTCCTCCACTGATGTTACATCTTTTCCAGTCTCCAATCTCACTGTATTAAACTCTACCTCTGAACCACCACTGTCCTGTGATCTGTAAGAAAAACAGGTATAGCAATATTATTATATATAAAAAATACCACACTGTTATTTTAAATGGACATGGCGATTTGATTCCTGACCTGACATGAATGCGTACTAATGGCTCCATCTCACTTGCATACTGCAGTGTCGACACTTGTTTGTTCCCCATGGAATACCTTGCCTTGGACATGGACAACCATCCCTGACAAGTCAGAAAGGCAAAATTGAGTCAAATTTAGATTTCTTGTCTTGAAGCCCTGAATATACCTCCCGAATGTGCTGTATGTCTTATGTCCATTGTAAACATAAACTGTTAAACATCCGTAACATTTGGACCCTTATTTCAAACAAATACATCCGTGAAATCGCTTTACCTGTTCTATGAGTGTATTCAAAGTGTTTCTTTTCTCCTCCAGAAGCTGCAGCTGCTCCATGAGCAGCAGTAATTTTTCATCCACATTCTCTGAACATTCCACTAAAGTCATTTCTGGAATAATCAAGAAGTCCTAGGTCTTTATATTTCTTTAAATTACAAGTTTAGGTTAAAAAGAAAAAAGTCGGATTGCAACAAACCGCTGATCCGCTATTTCCGTGTCACGTGGCACATGAAGTCACATAGACTGGATCATGTGACACCACTACGAACGCCCACAATTATGCTGCAACTCAACAGACTTTGAGTCGAGTCGATATTTTTGACTTGAGGTTCGACAAATTATAATTAAGTTAAGATTTCTTTGGGGTTGAATAACCAAAAAAAAAAAAAAAACGTTACCAGATTATGTAATGCAAAGAAAAAAAATACAGACAAAAAGGAGTAGTAAATTAAATGAACATCGTTTAAAAAAAAACGTGGGATTTTATTTAATTAAAATTTAATTAATTGAAGAACATTTTAAGGTCGAAAAATATATGTTTTAACGGCACGTTAGAGAATTGTGCTTTGGAAATTAATATAATTGTTAAATAAATTCCAGAGATAAAGAGAATTAAAAAAAAACACTGTTACAGTTTATAGATTAACACCTGAGGTAAAGAGAAAACTACGTAAATATATGTTTTCACAAAAAACATGTTTGTAAAATATAATTAATTATAATATGATTTAGTTCACGTTAATATTGTTTTGACGTAAACCAATACAAAAAGTGCATTCCCATACCGGGAGTCGAACCCGGGCCGCCTGGGTGAAAACCAGGAATCCTAACCGCTAGACCATATGGGACGGATATACAAATAGTGATTTTAGTCACTTATATATATAGACAATATTCCTATTAGTTTTATTTATATCTTTTCTACAAGTAATGTAGCTATTTCTATTACTTAAATACGCATTTTTTGAGGTATTCAAACTGATCCTACGCTTCTTCTTTAACCAAATGGTCGATGCTGACATTTATGAGAATAGAGCAAAATTATTCGGACAAAACAGCCACATGAAAACAGACAAGTGAAAGTTCAGGTAATATGACACTTAGAAATACCATAAAAATATAATAACAGGGCCAGAAGGGAAAACAAGTTAAATTAGAATATGACACAAATTACAATAGAATATATTTTCTGTGCGGTTGAATGCAGTCGAAGCCAAGCACCCAGCACTGTTTTCTTAACCAAAGCACAGTTTAGCATTTAAAATCTATCAAAATCTATCTCATTTATACGAAATGTATCTAATAGTAGTAGTAAGCGCAACAAACGCCGCAGAGTCGTCCTTCTAAGCCCATATAGCCTGTTTTCTGTGTATCGCATGTCTCTCCCAGTAGCTCGCCGTGATCGTATAGTGGTTAGTACTCTGCGTTGTGGCCGCAGCAACCCCGGTTCGAATCCGGGTCACGGCAGGGATGAATAGTCCCTGACACGGCAGGGAGAACTTTTTTTTTTATATATATATATTTTTTCTATAACTAAATAAAAATTATTGATACCCAGGGAAGTGAGGGTGATATTACAGATGACTGGATACAATTCTGTGATGAGCAGTGATTCCTAAACAGTCAGAATCAGGAACATACATTTGTGAGCAAAACTTGGACAGGTCCTGGAGAATTTGTATGTGCAAGTAACAAGCTTACCTACATTTCTGTCCAGGAGCCAGAGTGGACATTGTTGAAGCTTGCAGGTTTCTACATTGAAAACAAACTGGACTGGGCTAAGTCCTGGTAGTAAATGCCAACAGATTCCACAAACGTATGCATAAGACTCTGTAACACAAACCATTTTCTTCTGGGTATCAATAAAATATTTTTTATTTAAGAACGGTATTTGTTTTGGATCCTTTTTGAAAAGGTGAAAAAAAAACATCTCCCTGCCGTGTCAGGGACTATTCATCCCTGCCGTGACCCGGATTCGAACCGGGGTTGCTGCGGCCACAACGCAGAGTACTAACCACTATACGATCACGGCGAGCTACTGGGAGCGTGACGTGACACAGAGAAAATCAGTACTAAAACCAAATTGAATGACATTTGGTAATACGTTTTAATCACCTGAGATTTGGCCGACAAACGAAGGGGTATATTTTACAGTCTAAAATATACCCCATAATTGTTCGTTTATAATTTAGATGACTTACGTGGCTGTCTCCTTCATGTTGTCTCACTACTTTTGTCCTTAAGGGATACCCCAGGAAAGTACTTTACATTTTAAAGTACTCACTTTAAAGTTTAACGTAAGGAATGCACGACGAACCCGGAAATGGCGAATTAGAACTAAGCGGTGGTGGCACTGGATCAACAACTCCTATATTTTTGGATTAAAATGTCGTATTTTCTCTACGTACTTTGGCGTGGAAGCTCGTGTTTGTACAAGTGTCCTCTAAATAAATCTACCATACAGTCAGACGTAGAAATACAACACTTGACTAATCTTCTTCGTTTTGTCTTTGCTCTTGAATAAGGCAAAATGTCTCAACGAGTCAGGAAACACTGAAAGTGCTTTAAATAGTAAACTTAAAATTAGAAAGAAGGAAAAATAAATATATTTAAAGACAATAAAAAAACAGTAAGGAGGGTGGGCAAATTAAAAAAATAAATAAGGTGACAAGGGGCGTGGTTTGCTGAGGCGCCCCATATGCATTGGTGGCCGCCGACTTCATTGTCAATGATCCGAGGTAAAGACCCAATCAGAAATCCTGAAGATCACACATGCTGCACACTGCCCAGTCATTGGTCGATGCAGCAGTTCGCCCTTCCCATTGCTATGCTAAAGTCCCTCACTGACTGCTCGGTTAAGAAAAAAGAATTAGGTTGAGCTGAAAAGTCTGCAGCAGGACAGGTAAGAGCAGCCCATTCTGACCCTTTTATGATAAATAATTAATAAGGAAAAACGAAAATCTTAATGAAGTAATTTTTGAAGTAATAAGTTCTGTACCTTTTTACACGAATGCCACAGATTAAGTTTACGTTCTTTAGCTAAACATTGCTAAACTATTGTATGTTTATTTCAAAAAAAGAGTTTTTGAGCACAATTAAATTTTTCTGTGAAAATACTGAAACTCATTACTCTGTTTTTTTTGCCTGAAAAAATATTTTTTTTAATTAATTTCCAGACTATTGAGTCTAGTTTGTAGTAATGATTATGTAGATGTGTTAGGAGTTTTCTAGAAAATTTGGATTGACTGAATGAGAAGTAGTAACTGAAGAGTTGGTGGTTGTACCTGCTGCTGAATAATGATATGCTGATGTGATTCCTCCCACAGACCATGGCCTCCCCCGTCTCCTCCTCTTCACCTCCTCACCCTTTCTGGCCCCGAGACCTTCTCATCCCATCTTACATTGAAAATGACCGCTCCATGTCAGAAATCCTGGTTTTCCTCTTTTCTGTGTCCGGCCTCTTTCTCATTGTCACTTGGCTGATCACAGGATGTAACAGAGCGCTGGGAACATGGCGGCGTCTGGCCGTGTGCTGGTTTGCTGTCTGTGGCTTCATTCACTGTGTCATTGAGGGCTGGTTCTCACTTTACTACGATGTCATTCCCGGAGATCAGAGCTTCTTGTCGCAGCTTTGTCAGTGTTAAGAATTATCGAAAGAAAATCCTATTTTAGAATGTCTGCAGCTCTTCTAACTCTGCGTGTTTTTTTCATTGTGAATTTCATTTAAAGGGAAAGAATATGCCAAAGGAGACAGCCGATATGTGATGTGAGTTCATTTTGACTCTGAAATGCTAATGTGAAAGCTGCAGTTTCTAGCTCACAGTACCAGTAATTTCTAAAAAGTTAAACGATATGTGATGTGAGTTCATTTTGACTTTGAAATAATAATGTTAAAGCTGCAGTTTCTAGCTCTTAGTACCAGTAATTTCTAAGTTACCTACTTTACCCCTGGACTGATGTTTTCTCTTGTTTTGTCCTCTTAAGAGCCGACGCTTTTACCACCTGCATGGAGTCCATCACAGCTTTGTTCTGGGGCCCACTCAGCTTCTGGACAGTTTACGCCTTTTTAAGAAACCGATCTTACAGATTTGTTCTGCAGCTGGTCATCTCAGTTGGTAAGAAAGACGCAGCCACAAAATTAAACTGATTGAACTGACAGCTACAATTTAGAACAGATCCAAATTGGAGCATTGTCCTGACCAAATATTTGGTTCTTATTTTTAAGGTCAACTGTATGGAGTCTTGCTCTACTTCTGGATTGAGCACAGAGACGGTTACATACACAGCGAATATGGACACCCGCTCTATTTCTACTTCTATTTTGTGTTCATGAACATGCTGTGGGTCATCATTCCGGCGCTGCTCGTTGTAGATGGTTGCTCCCACATCTCGATGGCACAGGCGCATGTGGACAATGCAGCAAAAGTGACACAAAAGTCCAAGAGGAACTGAAGACACCCGGGAGAAATGAAAGTCCATACTGTGTTTGTTTTTTTTAGCCCTAGGAATTAAATTTTACAATTACTGAAAATCTGTGAAAGTGCTTTCATTTTATCATATAGATGATTTAGGTCCAAGTATAAGGTAGTTTGTTAAGGAATATACATATATAGTAAGTTATTATACCTGCCGAAGAGGAAAGTAACATCGATTAGCACTAAATTATACTAGAAGGAAAAAAGAAGCATATGTGTCTTTGTATCAGTGTGAATGTCTGTTTGCTTAATTTTTTTTAAATCTTACCTGACATTTCTGTGTGTATTTTTTTAAAGGATTTTCGCAAAGTACTACATGTATATTCAGTTATGGAGAAGACAATATCATTGGTTTAATTTGTTTAATACATGACCAGCAGGGGTCTCACTTCACCCAGTAATGTGAGCGCGTGTACTACCTGTGTATTTTGTGTCGCTTCAGCGTCTCGGTAATGTCATGATAATGACAAAACTGGGGCTAAATATAATAAGAACAACCTTTTGGAACAATTAGGGGTAACACGCAGTTTGTATGAAACTTTTAAAAATCAATCTTGATACTTGATTTCTTGATTTCACATCTATTTTGATGTAGATTTAATAACCCTCATTTAAAATTAAACATATACTAAAAGAACAAGTTCTATGGACAAACCACCAGGGAGCAGCTCTGCCGGTTCAACTGTTGGATTTGGATTTTTATTTAATTTCTAGCACCAGCAACATTTTCACAAGGAGTTTGTGGTTTCAATCAATATAATATATATTAATATATTCAATATATTAAGTCTCTCTTCAGCATGTAATAATCAATTACATTTTAAGGGAACTAGATTCAACACAGGAATGCTTTATTTGGAGTGTGAAATCAGAGTCCGTTTGACGGTCAGAACTTTCTTTTACAAAACTAAATTGAATTATTCAAGGCTTTAACCTGACACAGAATTCTGGAAATAAAATGGCAAAAAGAAAAGACGCGGACAACCTGCCAGAGCACAAACTGATCTGTGTTCTGATGTTGGAAAGACCAGAGGTTTACACCGAGTACGTTTGATTGATATGGACCCTCTATCTTGCTGCGGATCTGTGAGGCCTGAATGATTCACTCATCTTCTCTGGTACCTCACATCAGTCAGTGTGTGATAAAAGTTTGGATTGGCTTCCAAAAAGGGGGTTCAAACAGGGTGATGAGAAACACCCTGATCATAAAAGTTCTGAAGCAACTTTAAAGTCAGGTAGACAACAAGTTCAAAATCATCCAGGCATGAAGTTATAAAAAAAGTGATTTTTCATGTTGCGAAAGGACCGCAGAGATATCTCGGTGTTGACAAAGAAGCGAGGAGATGATCTGGACCACAAACAAAGAATGACTTCAACTCCAGGTTTTTCCTTAAAGATGCAGCGTGTAGGAGGCACATAAGTGTCCTTGTGGATCCATCAGAACATCTTTGGAGATGATTCCATTGTTCACAGATCATTTTTGAGCTCCAAAAAAGTTATGATTTAAAGAAAATGCAGCCATTTTTTATTTTGCTCCAAACTTTTTGACTCGCGGGCCACAATTGTCCTAAAATTGAACGGGGCGGGCGGGTCAGGAGCAGATAGATGGAGCGTTGGTGTGAACTAAGATAAATGACATTTAAAAGCTGTGGTTAGAATGCTAAAATGCTTTTGTCATTTTCTACGCCATCTATTGGGGAAACGTGTGTATTGCAGGGAAAAGGCCGAAGTATAATTATTATTGCAGGGAAAAGGCCGAAGTATAATCATATATAAATAAATTATAAAATAATTATATTTTGGAAAAATATTTTTGGAAAGGTTTGGCGGACCGGATTAAAATGTTGAACGGGCCGCATTCGGCCCCCGGGCCTTAGTTTGCCCATGCCTATTCTAAGCTCTACTTACATCATTCCCACCTCTCAAACAGGAAGTATTTAGAGTTTTACTGCTTATATCTGGTCTCCGTGGTCGTCATGCATATACGTCCTAGTACCGTTTACTATAAATGACTATAAATTTTTATATGTCTCGACATTCTCTTACTAATCTCTTCAGTAAAATGTTTTTTTTTGTGTCTCCAGTTCTTTCATTGTCCTCCATGGATGAACCGTCTAACGTGTGTTCTCCTCTGCTTCCTCCATCCATCTACCGTCTCCTTCAACCTCCCTCACCTTCCAGTTGGCTCTTTTTGACTTCCCAGCTGGACTCTTTGTGAAATATCCCAGCGGGGAAGATTCAGAAGCACCATTCCCTGGAGCTAGTGCAGAGCTCAAATGTTTGTCAGAAACTCTGCCAGTGGGCTGAGGGTTGAGCAGCTGCAAGCCTTCGAATCCACAGAACCTCCTGAGCTGGATCCAGGTCTCAGGAGCTGCTGGGAGAGATGGAGGGATGGTACAACGCTGACGTCAGCCTCGCCCCGGGCTTCAGTGTGCGTCATTCAGGGAGAAGGTGGAGTTAGTGACAGGTGAAGAACAGATGAAAGGGAAGAATGATGGAATGACTGAGACACAGACAGACACAAAGAGAAATGGATGGATGACAGACAGATGAATAAAACATTTTTTAAAATATATTTAATATCCCTGTTACATTTCTTTGTCTATGTTCCTTGAAATGTGTGAAGAATATAACCCAGCTATATAAAACACACTGTTTTGTATGTTTTAAAGCATTGGTTTTCAAAGCGGGGGACAGAGGCCCTCTGGGGGACACTTAGAAAATTGAAAATTGTTAATAACATTTTTTTTATTAACAATTTGGCTTGAACCGTACAACAATTTAATTAAAACCCGTTATCAAGCTGCTCTGCTCCTCAAGCTAGCATGTGGCTAGCTAGCGCAATAGGGACAGTAAAAAGAAAATCACGCTAAACAAGTGTAACAATGATTAAATAGTGAATAAAAGTTAAAAAAAATGTTCTAAAGGTTTATGTATCTTTATATATTTTGCAACTTCTTAATTCTTAATCAACAAAGTAAATCAACGAATAAAAGTTAAAAAAAATGTTCTAAATGTTTATGTATCTTTATATATTTTGCAGTACTCTTAATCAACAAAGTAAATCGACTCGTTTTGAATGAAGTAAATTAGCAAAACTGAAGTACATTTTTTTTACTGTGTCCCTCTGTGGCCCGATACCAAATGACCTCAGACCGGGGGTAGGGCACCACTTTAAGACCAGTGGCCCCCAACCTCCGGTCCGTGGACCGCTGCTGGTCCGTAGGTCATTTCGTATGTGGCCCACTGTGGCCTGATACCAATGACCTATGGACTAGCATCGGTCCCCAGACCGGGGGTTTGGAACCACTGGTCTAAAGACTAGAAAAGTGAACATTTGTAGAAAACTTGGGCCCCTGAATTGTTGACACCAGCAGAGATAGAGAGAGTCCCAATATTCCGACAGTCGGTGTAATAAAATCATGAATCACTCACACAAGGTCTGTGGTCCAGAGAAGAAACAGCATCAGGACTCGTGCTGTAAACCCTGTGTGTCTGGAGAAGCTTTGTTTTAAACACTTCCCACACTCAGCAACAGTAAATCCACTCAGACCAAAGATAAGACCTCGAGCATCACCATTACCAACCCATTAAAAACCAGGTAACAACACACACACGTAAGACACACTCAACGACGCCGCGCACCGCACTGCAGTAACGAGCTGCCGGTTCAGAGGAGAGTGATTTACTGGGGCCTTTAAAGTCAAATAAGGATCAAAGATGATCCTTTGTCTGATTAGAGGCTCTAAAATGTCAGCGGAGACAGATCGATGGAGGCAGGGTGGAAGGTTTCGGAGACACCCACATACATCATACATGACATATTGCTTCTTGAATGTTGATCAATAAAAAAAAGGTCAAAGCTTGTGTCGGCGCGGGAACCTGTAATCCAGCGTGGTTGCCAGCACAAGTTGCACAAGAAGAGAAATATGACTTTTTTTTTCCTCTTGCATTAACAGTGATGGAGCAGAGTCTGCCAGGTTAAGGCAATCCATCTACATTAGGGTGTCATGATGAGATCGCTCCAGCTGACGGAGAGAACAGAAACACACACTCGGGCTCCCAACGTAACAAGACATCAGAGGATTATTTCCTGGTGGAACCGATGCACATTCACGCACAGCCCGCTCTCTCTTCTGAGGAAATACGCCGACGAGGGAGAGTTTCGTAGGTAAGAGGCCTCACTCTGTGCAGGACCTGCTGCTGAGAACCAGACTCTCAGTTAAAACATGGCTTCTAGGGGTCAGCGAGGTCAACGGGAAAAACATATTAAAAGTCATTGGACAAAAAAGACCGTACTCGTCTTCAAGAAATCAGAGATTTTACACACACTGAAATTAACGGTGCCGTTTAGCTGTTTGTCTTGCTGGGGAAAAAATAAACTTTAACAAGGAAAGTGTGGCACTTTGGCCCAGAGGTGATGTCTCTGTCATTGGTGTGGAACCCCAGGGTTCACCTCCTGGGCAAGTTCAAATCCCAGTTAGGGTGGTTGGTACCTTCCAGTGGACTCACCGCCCGCAGGAAGGTTTAGACGCTGCCCACGCGACCCGGTAACGGATAAGTGGATGGAAATGGATGGATGGATGAAAAAGGAAAGTGACGTTTGTAAACCTCTGAGAAAATCACTGATTTTTAGCTCACAATGACACAACATTTTTGGTCCGTTGCTGCCTCCTGTGGTGAGTTGTGTCATAATTTTTTTTTTTTTTTTAACTGGCGGGGGCACACTGCTGTGTAAAATCACAGGATTTGTCTACGAATGAGTGATAATTCCCTGAAAACCTGTGTGGTCTTTTTAAGTCACACCATATGAAACCGGCGTTTCTGACGTCTGTTACGTAACCACACCAACGCAATAGGGCACGGGTGTGTGTGTGTGTGTGTGTGAGTGTGTGTCAACGAGGAACATGTTGAACGTGTTCCTCAGCGAAGGGTTAATTCGTTTTATCTGGAGTAAAAAAAAAAAAACGGACTCTTTGACATTAAGTGTTCTCCTCAGAGGAACAGCCTGAGTGGGAACTACTGAGGGGGGAAGATGGTTATCACACGCCACAGGCCACGGAGGGGGACCCTTTTTATCGATGCGTGCTCTTCCTGTGACTGTGTTTGTGTGTGTGTGTGTGTCTGTTGTGTAATTGGAGACATTTACTGTGGGCCATTAGGCCTCTGCACGCATGTATTCTTAAGCAGATGTCGTTACATTTCACCTCACACACTCCCTGCAAATACATCGCCTGGGAAAATTCAAATACGGAATCAGTAAAATTCTTCA